AACAGACTGGCCAGCTCTAATGAAGTTTGTGAATTCATTAAATCCTGCTATTGTCATATTGTCATACGATATATACAACCAATGCGATAAACGTGTACAATACATGATGCTAAGCAAAATTAATTATCATACCCGAAAATCGAAACCCACTCAGCTACCTTGTGCACACTCATACGATAGGCAATCAGCCACATCTGTTGTGTGACGGCTGATGGTATGACGTGTAATTGCCCAAACCAGAGTAGGTGGAGAGGGGTTCAGACCCCTGACTCACTGGTTGAAACTCATCTTCCTCAACCAATGAGATACAAAGCCACTACTTTCATTTTGTTAATAGGCAATATACGAAAACTTCATCCTGAATATAAAAAGGCTCGAAAAAACAGATAAATGATGAATGAGGCAGTTGACAAGGAATAATCATTCTAATGGAAGGTCTGAGGAGATTTGATCGCCATGAAGTCACCTGTCAACACAAACTGACATCATCTATAGGACCACTCAAACTCCGAGGCACTGAATAGCTGATTTACAGCAGCTTTAGACGTGTAATCAGTAGTCACTCACTATTATTACCTATCCCTTCGATTACTAGTGAAACATAAGGCTTCAGTAGCAGTCGCCATTTCACTCTCTTCAACCTGGTTACACGACTCCCCACAAGCTTCCATTTCTTCGTCACACCATCTCCTCCATGTCACCCTCGCCTCGAATGCCCAACTCATCGTTTCCCTTTTCGGTTCCCCCCAACGGCCTGGCCTCGCCTGGCGCGTGATGTCCCCAAATGGTCTATTCAGTGTATCCCCAGTTCAATCCATCTCAACTTTCTTCTGCATATTTGTTGGACGATCGGTTCTTCATTCATTCGTTCGTTGCCAGCCAGACTTCCTTGTTGCTTATTCTTTATGGTCATCCATCTGATCTTCAGTAACGAGTCTAGGCACCTGTTGATGAAATCCTGTCAGAAATGCTTTTCGCAGCGCACCAAGGCTCTCAGCCATCACACATAGAACAACTGACTTACCTGACATTAGTGTTGAAAATCCCGATCTTCTTCACACTTCGTGCTGAGTGCAGTGCAATACATCTCCTCACTGATTTCAAATTAATGAACGCCTGTCTTGCTGCCTTTCCGATCCTGTCTGGCTTTGACGTCCTCATTTGTGCCGCCACCTATAGTTGAAAAAATGCTGCCTAGGTAAGTGAAAGAGACTACTTCATTCAGGTTTCTCTCATTGATGGTGATCGGTGACTGTTGTTGACGTTGGTTGTGTATCTTCATCACCTCTGTCTTCTCTATGTTTACCTGAAGGAAGTCCCGTCTTCGCTGTCTTGCCTCGCCTCTTCTGTCAAATTGTTGGTTTTCACCTGTACATCTTCCAGCTTCTGCAACAAGACATTAGACAGAAATCATCATCGGCGAAATCCAAATGTTCTAGAATCTTTTCCCCGGTCCAGCGTATGCCACTCTTCTCGCTCCTAACAGCAGTTTGTTGCATGATCCAGTCAACCACAATCAGGAAGACCATCAGTGATAGTAGGCAGCAACCTTGTCTTACTCCTTCCTGTCTTCACTTCAAAGGCATCAGTGAGCTGAGCTTTCCAGTCTGAATCACTCGGCATGTAGCATCATATAACATATAGCTGTTGAATGAGGTTGGTAAAGGTTTGTAACACTAAAAGCGTAGTGTTGAAGCAGCTGCATGCCAAATTACTTCTCGGTCGAAGCTGTCGAATGCCTTTTCAAAGTCGATGAAGTTCAGGTAGACATTCAGTTGACCACCATTCTATACTCTGTTCTATGATGATGCGTTGCGTAGCGTTGCAATCTGATCCACACATGATTTGTTATTCCTGAAACCAGCTAGCCAGACAGCCAGCCTGTTCCGGTCGTAATTTTGAGTCCAGGGCATCTTTTAGTCTCTCCAGGATGATGAGGCACAATATTTTGCTTGTTGTGGGTGGGCAAGAAGGAGTGGAGCATGATTCCTCGTCAGTTATTGCAAACACTTAGGTCACCCTTTATTGGGATTTTGACAAGGTATCGCTTCTTTTAATCGATAGGCAGGTACCTTCCCTTCCTTCCTTACAAACCTTCTGTAGTAGTGTTGTGAGTATGTCCGCTGTTGTCTCCACATCTGATTTCGGTGCTTCTGGAGGAATTTCATCTGGTCGTGCTGCTTTCCTAGATTTCAGCAACTTTATGGCGTGGCGTTCAGGACTTCACTTCTGCTTTTGTCGGAGGGCTTGTGTTCACTGGTAGTTCTGTGGCTGAGCTGCTGGTGGTAATTCTGGCCGAGTTGCAGGTGGTGGTGGTGGTCGTCGTCGTCGTTTGAAGAGTTTTTTGGAAGTGGTCAGCTCATTATATCCTTCGTTTCTCTACTTTGGCGGGTAACTGGGTTCCCTTCGCTATCTTCCATTGGTTTCGTCTGCGTTGATCCCCGTCCTCCCAGATAGTAACCTGGTCATTTGATATAATGTTGTCAGGTCTCTCTTACCAGACCTCAGTCTGTTCTGCTTCGCTTGCCAATATGTCGTGGAAGTGTCTTTTGTCTTAGCACGCACTCTTCTTCACTTATTTGTTCAGTGTGGTGTTTTACACGTTGTACTCAGTTCCTCTTTTCGTTGTTCATCCTCTCACTGTACTGGTTCACCTTCTGCTTCACCATCACCATCTTCGTCTCCCTGCTCTATCGGCTTCCATGTATCAATGGAGATTCATTCCTTGTCTTGCTTCTTCCTCCTTCCTAACATGGTTATGCAGGTTTCCTTCCACATCTCTTTCAAAGGGTTCCACTGTTCTTCGATGCAGGTTTCCTCGTGGATGTTGCCTAATATCTACCATGTTTTCTTGATGGCTGATTGACGTGAAGATGTCGTTTGTAGTTTCGTCTTTCGGTTTCTGTTCTGGGTATTGAACTTAAACTATGGTCTACTATCACCAGCTTCTTTGAAGGCTTTCAACTTGATTTTGAAGGTTACTTGGTTTGAACCTACATCTGCTCCCCTTCTTGATCTGATCTTGTATCTAGTAAAGTGCGTCTTCACTTTCTTTACATTGAAATGAAGTTGATCTGATGTTTAGTGTAGTGCGTCTGGTGTCTGGTGAAATCAAATCCATGTCACTTTGTGAATAATCCTTGTGTTTGTTAACACTGCCTCGACTCCAAACACCAAATCGTTGAATGAGCAGAAGTCTGCAAACAGTTCTCCATTCTCGTTTATTTCACCGAGAGCTTCTTGACCCATGATAAATTCTCTTCCTGTGTTGTCTGCTCTCAATTTGACATTCATGTCACACATTAGAATTTTGGTGTCGCCAACTGGAGTGGGGTCATGTCCAGTATTGATTGTAGTTGTCTGTAGAATTTATCCTTCTCTTTTCTGCGTCTGCATTATTTGTAGGTGCGTAGCGTAGCATTGTATGATTGCGACTTTCCTTTCTTTTGAGTTGAATATTGCTGTCATGATCCTGCAGGAGGAGATTGGTTCTCACTGCATGAGAGCCTTCGATGCTCGATATCATGATAGCCACTGTCTCGGTGTGCTCATGATTTTCATCTAGGTGACAATAACGGAGTAGATTACTGACTCTCCAGTTAGTAGTTTGGAGAGTCCACATCCATTCCATCTGCTCTCGCAAATGCCAAACACTTCTATGCCACATCTTCACATCTCTTTGGCAATCTGGGCAGCCTTGGCAGCCAGCCATCTTAAAACATCGTGCGGACATCCCATATCCCTATGCCTACTTTTGCTTCTATTGAGAGAAGACACATCGGCCAATTGGCTTCCCGAAGGCTTTAGCCAACCGACGTCATTTTGTCTTTCCGATTTCAGCGAAGAATAGGTTTATTTTATATATTTTCTTTGTGCTTTGAAGTTTCTTTCGCGACTGGATTAAATTTCCCGGGATAGGGTTGCTAGTCCCATGCGCAACGTTTCCTCATTTCCCGGGCTTAGGGCCGGCTAGTAACTAGTGAACAAGTTACCTAGATGAGGTTGAAACTGCCGTTGGAAGTACATACAAGAGATTAAAAGTATCTCACTACAGTTTACGCAGCATTGTTTACATCAGTGGGGAATCACTGTATTGGCAATGTAGAGGTTAGGCGAAAGGTACTAAGTAATATAGGCAAGTCAGTTGATGAGTTTTCTGAATCTTTAGTGACTGAAATAACTTGGTGACATGTTGCAGATACCGAATCACCGCTCACATCCAAATCCAATGTTAGCAGAAGTACGCTTGAGTTGGAAGAAGGCTCAAGGTATCCAGACCAAGTCATAGAACCAGTCAATGAAGTCTCTGAATGTCAGTCTGAGCTGTGTAGAGAGGAGTAAACTACATGGTTGGGATTCTGAAGACCATAGGAACTAACGGCTGGAGAGACTTGAAAATAAGGCTGAAAATTAGTCACAATGGTACAGACGTACTCACTTTCTTATATCTTCGAAAATTATAACATTTTCCCTAATCTTCACCTTTTCAAATTCATTCCTCCAATAAATACACTTTCCTATACTTTGATATCGTCCTTTTTCCATCCACTAGTTCTTTGCACACTGTAATGAATAGTGGCGAATCGCACTTCTGCTCAAGGTTATCCGTTGATTTCTCTCCCTTTTTCTCATTGGTTAGACTTAGAGAGTTTTGACTTGGCAGACTGTTCGTAGCGTATGTGACAACACGTAAGTGAGAAGAAACTCTAGGTCACACCAGAATTCAAACTAATAATCTCCAGATAAAACAATATATATCATACGTTTTCGCTGACACCAGTAACTGACATAAATGTCAACATTAGTCTCAATAGACTTCTTATTTGATTGATACTAGTAAACACCTATATTAAGTTTTAAGTGCTTACAAGACATCGTACTGTAGTGAATAAAACTTTGCAAATAAAAAAAAGACATAATGCCACAGCGGTGCAACTGGATAAGTTGTAATTTTTTTGAAAAGTATAATTAAACAAAAAAAAAACAGCAGAAAGACATACTTCATCGAACAACTGTAAAAGGGCTGTCAGCACATCTGGATGAGCTTTTTCTGTTTCATCAAATAAAACAACTGCATTCGGACATGCACCTAAAGCTCGTGTAAGCTGACCACCCTCCTCATGACCAACATAACCAGGTGGTGAACCAATGAATTTGGAGACCTGAAAAAGGTTTAACGTAACATATATATATATATATATATATATATATATATATATATATATATAAACAGTTTTGTATTGGTTGCTAATTAGATAATTACAGACAAGTATGATCATCAATAAGTAATTAAATGTTGAGTGGTTCAAGTGACACCTCGAGGTATAACTGTTAAGTGTTGATATAATCAGTTTTTGAGCTTCCGTTGTCAATTCGAACACGTGTAATGCATCCATGTGGTATACATAAAAAAACCTTTGTATTGATAGCACTTGAAGAAACAAACAGGCAGACACAAACCACACTTGCCAAAATAAAATTGACCATTGATCATTTGAAATCACTGGGAATTAAATGACACTATCCAGTATCGAAATTGATCACATTACAGTTTCAGAAATCCAAACAAGTAAAGACTATCACATTAAGCAGTTTCGACTGTAAAAAAAACTATAGGCAAGCAATTTAACTGGTAGTAACGATTACTTGACGCTCACAACCGTACAACGAAGCGTGGATGTGCTCATCAAACATGAAGTCGAAAGAAGGATTTTTTCTTCTATATGCTTGTAACATATAAGATGCACGGGTTTTGACAACGATATAAGATTCAGAGATGATTTTCAATAAATAGGCATGAAGAGTGTTAGCAAACAAACGAAAAACGGAATTTAATTCACTTATGTTATACGATATTGTGATAACAAAGCATTAAAAGATTAGAAATTCAGTGTTAATACACACTATACTATTACATCTTCATGTGTGAACTCAATCCATAACGCTATATAGAAGGCATCAGCTTATTCTCTAAAATACAAGTACATTTAAATTTACTTCACATCGAAATCCCAGAGTATCTTCACTATTTCGTACTATGGAAAGTATACTCTGTTCCGAATAAATCTCAAGAATTTCTTCACTTTTAAGCACAACTTGACAATTGAGATTGATCTAGTGCTCAAGATGATTTAACGTGAAAATTCTCAGGTACTTCTTTAATATAACTACTTACTTGTCTTTTGAGTACACATGAGACAGAGGAACGCGTTACATAAGAAGTCTTATTTTGTGAGCTTTCTTAAATCAATATAAAGTATTTCATTTATAATCCACTTACCCAATGCTCAACTTAACTCTATGAGGTCAAATTTTGATCCTGAAGATTATAAATTAGTTCATTCCAAAGAACACAACTATTCAAGTAAATATGATTAAGTTTCAATCTGGATACATGTTCCCCATGATGGTACATAAGACTATTAAACAGAATTTTTAAATAAACGACTCTGAAACATATACGAAGAACATAAAAGTATAAAAAGTATAGAAAGAATGAATATCCATGATCACCTACAACAAAATCATCCGGGTACGTACACGCTACAGTACAAAACCCAAGTAAGGAGTTAACCTACGTAATATACGATCCTTCTTTGTGTATTCACACCAACATGAGATCTTTCTAACCAGTTCTAGAGTAGAAGAATAGTGGCATAGATGAGCTGCTACTCAACAAAGACTATTCAAAAAGACAATATTGTTCATTGTGCAACAACAAATAGATCACTGAAATTATATATAATCAGCTGATGACCATTATATGTAGGACATGTGCTCGGGATCATCGAGTTGCGAACACTTTAGCACGATGAGAATAAGATTGTGTCTGCACTCACTACAAGCGTTGAACAAGTGTTGCAAGCTGTAAAAAAGGTTCATGCACGTATGTTTGTTAACTAAGGCACAACGGATGAAACTTTCAGCTGTAAACAGAAAACCAGAGCGCAAAAATGCTGTTATTAGTCAACTTCAACGTCATTATGATGTTAGTCTGGTTGTAAGGGGGTACATCACTTCGGTGCAGACGATTTTCCTCCACGCCTAAGAAGACTGGACTCTATGAGCTGAGAATACCTGATGACTCCATGAATCTGACAGTCACTGTTAGTGAAAGAGTGCTTGCATAAGGTGGTAACAGTGTTTTAACAGTTACAAAATCAGGTAGCGCATTTGCTTTTTCTTGAAATAGGTCACCATTCAGTGTGTGATTTCATATTGAAGCACAAGTTGTGGTGGCCTTTTCTTCATGCTCTTTCAATGACTTACAAATTATTCACTATTTTCTAGCTCTCAAACTGATTGGAAGACGCAAAAAATGGTCAGTGAAGAATGGGGCACTGTACAATGAAGGATAATTGTGTGAGTGCATATGGCAGCTTATGTACTGCTTCTGAGATAATGTTTCATTCTGTTTCTGGGATTTTAATAGGTTAGCGGCAAACTCTTGTTATCGATAAAAGCGAAATTCAGACTGACTAACTCTTTAAACACCACCTGACCAAATTTCTACACTTTTACTGACATCAAGATGCTAAGTAAAGAATACAGCTTATAAGTCGATTGTGACACATACATAGGACAAACAGCTTGTCACCGAACTAGCAAACATCTGCAGAGGTAGCACACTTAAACTATTTATTTATTCACATAAACCGACTCAGAAACTAGTATAGATATGAGAGTAACTATTTGTTAGGAAAGGTAAAGGCAGAATGGGAAAATGCGACTAAGAAAACAAAGTGTTACCAAGTCCATTAAAGTTAAGGCTCTGATCAAAGATTGAAATCAAATTGTTAATTCTAATAAACACCCTCAAGGTTGAGATAGAGGCAAAAGATTCTCGACCAATGAAATTGAGCAGTCACTTTTTAGTAGATTAACAACAAGAGGTGTTACGGAGAATCAGATATACAATTCGCAGCTTTCTTAACTAAAAAACAACTTCATTTCAATGCCAAATACTCTTCACACAACACTAGTCTTCAAAAACACAGAACCTTAAAATGATAGGCACTCGATATATCGGAACAGTAGACCAAATTCAGGTGTATACAATAGGTAAAAGATCAAACTATCTAATAGATCCAAAAGTGAATGGAAGGGAAGGAATATTACTGAGCATGACAGATTTACGGAATAGTCGTAAGAAAAACAGAAAATATTGATACGACAAAAAACTGGATCCCTTTAAACGATAGTGTGATGAAAAGATAACAGTTAAAATCCCTAAGTCCAGCATGACGAATTTCAAGGGGTTTGAACGCGTCTGACATTAGTGCAACAAACAGATATGATAACACTTCATGGAATAAAACAAAAGTAGCCTAATTTCTGTTTCACCTCAGTCATCAACGGTTTGGCCCGAATACCATAAAAATTCGTGACACATTATTACCTCTAGATCGCACTCACTCTCGTTGCCCAGTCGAGACACCGTACCTCAGCTGGTAGACCGCCAGGTCGAAAACCCGGTGGTCTCTGGTTCGAATCCCATTGTGGTTCAAATTTTCATTTCACCTTCAATCATCACCCAGTATCAGTGCTGGTTCGCCAAACCGTGGCCATCTCAGATAGTCAGAATGATAAAAAGCTACCTACTGATTTAGTGAAGTGATGAGAGGTAGTTATCACCTCTGTCTTCTCTATGTTCACCTGAAGGAAGTCCCGTCTTCGCTGCCCTGCCTCGCCTCTTCTGTCAACTTGTTAGTTTTCCCTGTACATCTTCGAGTTTGTGCAACAAGCCATGAGACATAAATCATCATAGATTATTCATAAGTTGCACAGTTTATGATAACATTTTCTACAGCTGAATAGTTGTTCAGCGCACAAATGTAATATCAACTTACACCTTTTTTATCTGATCTATAATTTACCCGTTTACTAAAGTTTAACTCAAGTGATCTGAAAAATAAATCTAAGGGAAATGGGAGTTTTGCAAATTTATTGTTGATAAACTTAGCCCCAAACACTACAAATGACCATCACTCTTTAGATCATTCCTAAATAGTTAGCGAATTCTGTTGATTGGTGTGGTTGGTCTCTGATGGCTAATGCTGTTCAGTAGCATATCATAATAAATCGATATATTTTCCTAACCACAAAGTAAAGGAACTTGAAGAAATACAGAAAAAGAAGGACTACACAGCCACTGATGAAAATACAATGACGAATGAACGGCAGCGTTTGAAATATAGAATTGTGGTTCATTGGTTCAGAGAATTGACTTTCAAACAATGAGTCACGGGTTCGAACAACTAGGTCTGGGGAGCCAGATAGTATCCTTAGTCCTCACATAATAGATGTAGTTCATTGCTAACTGCAAGAATGTGCACAAGGCTGATGAGTATATTTCTATCTGGGTGATTGATGTGTCACCATACAGATAACAAAAACATCCTTATGTCTTATATAACTGCGTATCGCTACAAATTACTGCAATTAACAACACCAGAATATAGAAAAGAATTTACAAAGAGAAGAAAAGAATTAAAAATAACCAAATCATCCATAGTGTCGAAAAAAGACACAAATGGAGTGAAAGATACACAGTAATATTTAAAAGATTAATAGGAGGGTAATAGTTTTAAGTTTGAAATCTACTTGGTGCAACTGAAAAAGTATAATTCGTAGCTACTGCGCCCAATCAAGATAGCTAAGAACAATGGCTTAATCGTCATAACATCAACAAATCTTATGGGTGAAGTTTACCAGTTAGTAAGTCATTTCAACTTTGGTATAAGGTCGATTTACTCTCAAAATCCTTCTATATTCGAAACGCTAACCGTAGATATATTAGGAAGAAATCATAATATGGTTGCGATATGAGGCTGAGGAAACACAACTAGAAAAGTGCATAAAAAGCCACAATGGATAATGGGCTAGAAATGGTGAAGAAGGAGAAGAGACTTCTAGAACTAGGCACATTAATTATACATTTCGGATAACGAAGACAAAAAATGTACCAAGATCGACAACCAGTGAAATTATTGCTGGAAACAAAACGACTACTGACTCAATACTGTAGCTGATAAGTGCGGCCATGAACCAAACACCTTAAGTATTTGTAAACGCACTTAGAGAATTCAAAGGTGATCAAAATGAATAAAATGAAGACAAATCAGATAGATGGTAAATAGTGTAAACTACTATGAGTGGAAGTTTATGATAAAATTTCCCTATTCCTCTTTGGGAATGATAAACCAATTTTCAGATTTATTCTTAGAAGTGAAGGGATCACGTGTCGTCAACCCAAACTAGTTTTAATTACACACCCCTCAAATAGTTAAAAAGATATCAGATGTGTCCACGATAGCCAGTTACTAACCTGACGAGTATGACAAATATTTTATGCTTACATATTCATAGAGATTGTCAAATACAAAATATACATATTAGGATTCAGGTTGAGAAAAAAACTTCTAGTTTATTTAAAAATTCTAATATAGACAGTTCGAGAAACATAAATTTATTGGTGAAGTATTTCTTTTCAACTGGCTATCATCAACTTTACACAAATATCCTTCGAATAATAATATCAAAATACTAAGTTATTGATGGCGGCTTAATTAACAGTGATCACGAAACCGAAATAAATCATCAAGTTAATACTTAAAGAAATGAATATGCAAAGAAATAAATGAGTTAAGTATTCACAGTTAACAAAAAGTGTAAATATAGAGGCAAACTATAAGAGTAGAATTCATACAATGTGGTAGGTTACAGTCACATTATAGTTCTTTTAATATTTGTATCAGCGAAGTAACGTTATTTCCTGAATGATATTTTAAGTACAGTTTATTGCTGATAGCCGTATCATATCATGGCGCAGAATCATATCGGTTCAAGTGGTTACACACCTCACAGCAGTATGCTACGAAAAGATGGATAAAAACGAATAAGAGAAAAAAGTGGCAAAAGTATATAAGGGGACGATGAACAAATAGAAGAAAGCCAATGAAAATATTCAGAACTTCAAAGATAACAAAGAGTACACGTATCTGCACCATTTTACTTCGAGCAATATCACCAAGAGTATACAGCCACTGAACCTCACCATTACGAAGATCCCAACTAGGCAACCTTTATCTCCCTATACACCATAGAGAGTACACGTATCTGCACCATTTTACTTCGAGCAATATCACCAAGAGTATACAGCCACTGAACCTCACCATTACGAAGATCCCAACTAGGCAACCTTTATCTCCCTATACACCATAGACCAACAGTTAAAGATTTCATGGATTGGTGCCAGGTCCTAATTTAGTCGCCATAAACTTCAAACCGTAAGGAAAACTACCATGTGGTACTACATCGTTTAACATGGCACATAGATGTAGGTTGTGGCTCACAATGCATAATATATCCTCTATCTCACAAAATTATCGACTGACTTGCCTTATCTGCCTAGTACTTGGTGTTTAATATCAATAGTCTTTACATAGTGGTCCTACCACATGCGATCGATGCTACAAATGAACCAATACAAACAGATCCCGAAATATTACCCTATGTATGACCGGTGCAAAATGCATTCCAAGCTTAATCTAACTTATGTTCGTGGTGTTCAAAGAACTGCATTTTATCGTCTTCAACCAACAGATATATGCCGTTTGCAACCAGTTGCTCTCCTGAGAGTAATTCACCCCTGAGAATGCGGTCAGTATTGACATGTCTATCAGCACTTCTACAGCAAAGTTAAACAACAATAGTGATACTCGAAACAATACAAAAAAGCATCACGCTGAGTGATATGCATTATGTGCGACCTTGATAAAGTGTTCCCCATACATATTCATGCAACAGTTATCAATACGACTCGGTAGTAAGGATCTTATCATTCAACTACTGTGAACAGTGGATGAAATATTTGTACAGTTGTCAGGTTTTGAAGACAAAATTGGCATTTGATAATAAATCAATGAAAAATGCCACGGTGATGAAAACTTTGACTTAAAAAATTACATACTTCGTGTTTTTCCTGGTATTCTGACATATCGATTCGAATAAAGCCTTTCTTGTCATCTTTATGCAAGTATGAAGCCACTTGTTTAGCTAACTCCGTTTTGCCTATACCAGATGAACCAAGAAAAAGAAACACCAGTGGATGGTCTTCATCGTACCAACCATTTTCTTTACGTCGAATGGCTGAAAAAAAACAAAAGTAACAGCGGTTTAAATACAGATTATTTTAAAACTAAATTCATGTTTACTTAGTCAGTATCTTACAATGCAATAAGTTTACTGGTTCAGAGAAAAAAGAATTTAATGATGAAGGTGGGTTGACATACTCAACCAAACGTGAGACAAAAAGATTCACTAATACCAAACCCAAAGGCATTTTAATGTTGATAAAGAGCACTATATGTTTTCGTGTTGAAATGCGTTGAACTTCCAACTACGAAATGCATTAGATAAACATCTGATCATAAAAATGTAACACAGTAAGTGCGTACAAGCTTATTAAATAATTGTCCATTCTCCAACTGATATATGGTTATGATTGAGCTCCATACCACATAACTGCCTAGAAAATCTCAAGATACCAGAAGTTTATAGTAAGTTATATGCTGTTTGGAGACTCGCATAATGTCGATATTAGAATTTAATATGTTGACTGGTTTCTTCTTTGAATATTGTCCTTGCAAAGAAAGGTGAAACTACTAATAATTCACTCTACAGCTACCGACATTAATCTCGTAATTTCAAAAATCTATACACTAATCATGTGGACCTAAGCACTCAACATCAAACAAACGGGTACGGATAAACTAGCCAATTTTCACTATTCATAAACATTTTCCACGATATTTACATAATTAAAAACGATTGCAAATTAAATTTTTCCCAGAAGGATGTTCACAACACATATCATGTTTTTTTTTAAAATGAAGAATCCTGAGCAGCGATGCACACTACTGTTGAACACAGAAGCTTATATATAGGTTAGTATATTACTAAACATAGTCACACTTAGATAAAAGCTACACATATCTGCTTCACATACAGACATTTTTGAATTAAACTTGCAGAGTAAATGTGTATCGCAAGAAAACGAAACAGATTCCTTAGAGAATATCGAGAAAGTTGACCGTGTAAAGTCAAAGATAACTTGCAGTGTAACCAGTCAAATATCTGGAGTACCGAATTGTCGATAGCATCACTATAGTCATTATATAAAGAAAGATGCAACTCAAAAATTAAAGAAGAAACTGATGAAGTGGATGAAATAAACCCCTCTCCAATCTCATACTTTAAAGTTGGTCACATGGACCACTAGATCAAAATCCTATTTGAGTGGTAATCAGTTAATTTTTAATTCATGACTTTTATGAGCTAAGGTTTACCTATAAAATATATCCTCCTCTACACTTTCTCATTGTATCAAGCTAACTACTACGGAGACCTGAAGAAAACATCCACAAGTTAGTGCAACAGAGTTTGTTTTCAACACATTGTGGGAGTAGTTAAGGAATAAATAATACGAAGCTATCATGCAAAGTATGTACACCAATGAACGTCCCCATAATCCGACATCCAAACACTAACAGAATACTGTGTATACTACTAGCTTTATTTACAGTAGCAAAATGTTAGCTAGTAATAAATTTCTACGATTTGAGTGCAGTGATTAACACCATGCGCAACTCTTTAAATTCCAAAAATCAGTTTCAGCATATTTTCATTGAAAAGAAGGTATGATTTGAGGTATTTGTCTCCTGACAACCAATTCACGTATATTTAAAGTTTAGAGAAGAGTATCTGCGCGTAACCTTTTCCCTTACAAACACTGAATCCTTAAATGTATGCGTAAAAAAAATTAGGATTTATTTCTCTGAAGTTAATCCTGAAGATGTCATCAAGCCTGGTAATGAAATGTCCACGACAATATATATATATATATATATATATATATATATATATAAATCATATCTTCGGAAGTGAAGGAAAAGAGAACCGTAACCGAAGATCTTGCAGTAAAAACATATCTGCAGGCCGAATAAAACTCATCTTGATGAAAACGGAAATGTAATTACATGGAAAAAAACTCAGTCATTAGTAACTTAATATAAAGTGCGAAGATAAACAAATTTACAAGTATTCAACTTATCTCCCTACAAAAACTACCACACGTCATCCTGCACAAAACTGACCTGCACTAACAGTGCGAATAGCAGCTTCTTGCCCAACAATAACTTTGTGTAAACGACTTTCCAGGGGTTGAAGACGTCTCTCTTCTCGCTCTTTAGCAGCGATTTCTTCTGCTTTCTGCAAAATCCGATTAGTAAAGGAGTAACAATTTAGTGCTCTACGCAACAAGATAAATTACATCCACTCGTTTTTCTCAGCTTAACGAACATATTTTACCATGCTATTTTGATCAATAAACAAATCGAATTAACTCGTCTTTAGATAATATAGAAAGTCTTTCGTAGTACAACATATCAATCAGATTTAAGACAATTAATAAAAGTGGTATGTAAAAATCAGGAGCGGAAACAAATCCATGAAATACAGAGGATATAAGGCTATTTAACAACCTGTTTTGACCCTCAGGCTCAACTTCTAGTTTAACTACTATAGAGAATAATGCTTAACCTGACAAGTTATATCTAGCAGATGACTGGTCGTGATAAGCATTCATATATGTTATACGACAGATTTAGGATGGATATGGTAACAACACTGTACTCCAGCTCTGTATTTGTGTTTTGTAAGTTTAGTCAGCTTTAGACTAACACACAAAGGATACCATAGAGCTATTTAGACCACTCGATCGAGCTGATTTGGAGAATACAAAATTAATCACACAAATTACTGGTCGCCCAAGTACATTCAACTTATGGTGACTAACATTGTCTCTCAAATTCTAAAGATCATATTAATCAAGTATTCGACTGAAGCTTGAGGACGAATAACCAAAATCAGGGAGGTTTCATACCAGGATGAGGGTAAATTGTTCAGATTTCCCCCTCTCCTTCAACAGTCTTTGGAACATACGAATGCTTACCAGTGTTCGATGATTCTCACACTTCATGACCGCAGAGTGACATTTCATTTCGTCGACCAAAAGATGTCGTAGAACTAACTAACTGTGAAAGATGTACTGTGTAAGTAGGCCATGTTTATCAAGGCTTTCTGTCCGAAATCATGCAGACGAACTACGGCTCACTCACAGTTATCGTTCGACGTAACTACAGCCAGTGTCCGGTAAAATATCCCCCATGGCTATACTTATTTAGCTTTTTCAGAGATGTCCTCATGGGTGTGACTTCACGAAAATCTGGTTTTTCACGAACTGACTTACTAACCGGAAGAAATCTGCCAGACTTTTAGTCTACAAGTAACCTAGCCCTGGTACGCAAAGATGCTGCGAAAATGCAGAACCTTCTGAACTCAAAGATCAAAAATCTGGGTATATTTGGCATGCATTTAGCCTCTGTCAAATGTAATACGATGATTTATGACTGCTCTTTAGAGACGCTGGGTTAAAAATAAGAAATAAAACGTTAGGATGTGGTGGAAAATTACTTTACCAAGCAAGTCCCATCAACTCTTATAAGTTAGTCGCTAACACAACCTGAGATCAGATGAAAAGACCTATTTGACGTCTGCCAGCTGATGTCGCCTCAGGCACCGGCGAGATATTTATAAGAGTATAGGCATACCACTGTAGGGATGTAAGGCAACTATTTGAGGTAGAAGATATGAAAAGGCTATAGGTTTTGGACCATAGGTTAGCAAGTTGGTTAATATAAACAAATGACCTGGAGTTCCTATGTAACGGTCCGAGTTGCCAGATCTCAAAACAGGATATCAAGATACAATCCATCAAAGATGAAGACAAACGAAATAGGGGGTAGTGTAATGAAAAGCTGCCGACAGTCATAACAAGAAAGAAAGATGAGCTAAGGCAGTGACGAAATACGATACGAAGACTTGGGTGAAAATAAGAAACCACTGTAACACTTATCCTCGTGTAAGTACAACACAACTGCGTATGCCATTACTAACATAAACACTAAGCAAATTAATAATCTGATTTGTGCTTAGTTGTAACTTCTCAGTGATCTACTAACATTGCTGTAAATAACATCATTTGCTAATGTAGGTGGTAGCTTCGGGTACTCAGTACATGTAGGACAGACAACTATAAAAAAGCTTGGTCAAAAATGCATTGGTTTCGCAACAACACAGAAAGGAAAATTTTACAGAAGTGGAAAGATGTAATAAACACCACTGGAAGCTATTAACTCAATAATGAATTCATTAAAAGCTTTTCATCTTGTCCACTATTTAATGCAATGACTGAAAGAAACAAGTTATACTATTTCAATGAAATTTCATCTCTACTCAGTGAGATATTTATACTAAGTCCCCTAATTAGTGATTTAAAAAAAGATTATCATATCGTGTACACTGTGAACGTGTTCGAAACTGGGTTCGCGCAACCGGGTGGTATGACGACATAAGCTCATTTAATTTAATAAATATACCTCATAACCTAGCTAATAAACACGCGTACGGGGTTGAATTCCGTTATTTTTAATTCTATTTTATGATCTGTTCAAACAAGATGGACAATAAGTAGAAATTAGTGAATAACTATCACTCAATGTACGAAAATTGTACAAAGCTTTATGTCCACATAAATGTGACTATAACGATGTCCTTATAAAGTTGAAGGGTTAGCAATGTTACCTAGTGTGCACGTAGGTATCTTGTTGCCGTGCTGCATTTCTATTCCGTGTTTTTCCCTATTTCGCATCCTCCTCCGACAAACTTCTTTTTTACACTTATTTTGGGATTTAAACATGACTTGTTAACTGGTTGAAACGAATAAGGTCAAGAAATACAACCAATATCAGGTGGTGGTGTGTTTGCACTTCAAGATCTGGCTTCAATATCAAGCTTCACTTAAGTGTCGAATGGTCAGAGAACCAAGAATTTTACACTGTTTTTGTGTCAATGATTTCACTGTGGCTGTTATAAAAAATTTGTTATTCTTTCTAAGGAATGGGACAGTGAACGATAGAGATCGATCAGAGAGGCTTAAATTGATTGTTATTGGCTTAGGGACTCAACTTTCGGGCGGCGAGTCCCAGGTCCGAACCCCGCTCTAAATAATTTGGCATAAGCAGTCGGGCCGTGTCGTAAGCCTTCACACAAAAGTGGTGTATAACAGCCTAATGAAAAGAGTTTAGCAGGTTTACTTACACTATTTACAATTACATACATCGGCTAACATCTCATTCAATTGAAGCGACAGTCCTCGGTCACCGTCCCAACATACCTCTGGCGAAAAGACAGCGGGACCTACTGTTCTTCCTCCATTTAGATATCTTACAAGTTTCTCAACTTCTGTAAGAGTTAGAGACCTCACACTAGTTCTTCGACCAGGCTGCAAATAAGTAGTGGATAATAGAAGAGTAACTGGAGACCAGTTGAACCATGCCTAGAAAAATACCACCCATCGTTCCAATAGTCTCTTCTGCAAGAGAATTGTAGACCTAAACTTCTTTGACACAGTTTCACTAGCCATGGAATTTTCTGTTCCAGTTTCTTTAGAATATCAAAATGAGTCTACTGTTACCTATGTCCAGCACATTTCTATTCCTTAACCTTTGTCGTCAACTACTGTTCACGGTCATCGCATAGACTCTGTTCATGTACAACAGAGTGGCTTTTCCTCCTCATAACTTTAAGAGACTGCACCAATGTTCTAACATGGATCCATTGATTCAGAAGAAGCTACTGAGATCCACTGGCTCCATATAACCTTCTTCTGAGTCAGTAAACGTCTTTAACACTGTTTCCACAGCCAACTGGATGTGACTCTAGGCTTCTGCATGATGATTGACACCGTCCTGCTGAGGTAAGTGCCTAGTCCAGTTCCTCGTGGAAAGCGACCAGCCAGCTGCGCTCGGAATCGTCTTGCAGTTGTAGCTTTTTTACATCTATTCAGACAAAGACATAAGCTTGTCCGAACCAGTTCGTGGTTACCGCCCAAACACACGCTCCATGAAAAGCGGCAGGTCTCAAACGGATCCACCATGGGCTCCGCAGTCACATAAATCTTTTTCTCTTTCAGATATCTTAAGAAGAAAAAGCATTCTACGGTGTGGGCAGCCAAGAAGTGTCAGCCCGCCCGCACACTTCTAATAGTACACAAGACCCAATCAAACATAACTCATCTTCCTCAACTCTATCTCCTCCTTCGCCTTCATCTGACATTAATATTAGGCTTCTTACGAGTTCCTTAACCTTTCCTTCTGTAACCATTGACAAAGATCTAATTCAGCGGAACATCATTCCTAGTTTTCTAAGACCCTGCCATCGATTTCATGTTGCCAAATCGGACAGCATGTACTAATAGCCAGAACTCTGGAATCTGCAGTCATGGATGTATGCTGTGTCGCTGAGACACATGCAGGAGCCAAGTGTGGTTGTCTACTTGAACTCACCTGCCCATTGTAATGACTTCAAAATTCACCTTACGAGTATCCGGAAACCCAATGGCTAGCTCTTGTGGTCTCGATAGTGTGGGCATAGCATCAAGTTGTAGGGTCGCAAGTTTATTCCTCGACTGAATACCAGTCAACAGCCGTCTGTGTGCTGCTCGACTAAATGGGTCTTTAAAAATTAAGGAGAATAGTACGACTAGTCAACGCTTATTGCTAACCTTCGCCTGCGATCATACATCAGTATGGGCTGGTGTATGTCTGGACACTACCGATTACGCAAAAAGGTGACGGTAAAGCCTATGTGCACTCGATTGGAAGATGATAACACCAAGTGCCCAGTTCGGGAGGAGATAGATAAGCATCTACCTGAACATGACAGCAATGCTCATTCTTAGGAAACCTAGGGTCATATTGTCTCCTGTAGAAATACCGGTAAAGAGAACTGGTAACCTACACCCGAAAGTCATTGAGTTTCCTCAACCTTATCCAAAATGATTGATACGAGAAGATTTATTCCAGTTGGCTCTAACCAAGATTAAGAGCGAAAGCGAATCAAACATAAATCGACGAAGAGTCTTCGCGTTGATTGTGAGCAGTGGTGGGTGGCGAAAGCGAGAGAGATGGAGAGGGCATCAGAGTTAGGTAGGCCCTGGCAACTATTTAGGCTTAATAAGGAGACAATGGTTATTGAAACCATTAACGAAAAGAAGAAACCATGATTAACTCTCAGGAGAGACGGTTAGAACGTTGGGTTGGACATTTTGAAGCCCGGTTCAACTGACCCCCAACAACGCTTAAGTAGCCCAGCATTCAGCCTGAACCTGAATGGGACTCTCCTTGAAGTTGAGAAGGCTGTATCGAACCCAAAACGATACAAAGCAGCAAAATCTGACAGTTTGCCACCCGAAGTTTTCAAGAATGAAGGCAGGAAATCGTTGCTTAAAGTGATGGAAGTATTGGGTAGTGTATAGGAATCAGAGGTAGTACGTACTCAGCTACCTTTTGCACATTCATGCAGCAGGTATTGAGCCGCAGGTATTGTGTGAGGGCTAATGTTGCTACCTGCCTGCCCAAATCTCGGTAAGTGGAGGAGGGCTCAAACCCGTGACCCAATAGTTGGTAGTCATCTCCCGAAACTACAGAGCCACAGTTGCATAGAGGTAGTACCGTCAGACTGGTCTATTTCGTCGATCATTCCAGTCCATAAGAAGGGAAAGCAGTCTCCTTGTGATAAACATAGGGGAAATAGTTTAAGTGGTATTGTGCCCAAGATCCGGGGATCCATACTTATCCTATGCCTAAGTGGAACTAAAGAACTTCAAACTCGTGAGAACCAAGTAGGTTTCAGACCTGAACGAGGGTGCACGCATCATACTTTCACCTTCCAACAGGTTTTGCAACACAGCCGTACTTGCCAACAGCCAATAGTTGATATATTTCTTGACCTGAAGGTAGCCTTCCACTCTGTCGACTGTGAAGTTTTGTGATAGTGTCTGACTTTGAAGGGAATGTCGAGCAAGTATATAATGCTAATCACAACTTTATACTCGAACCTACGCAGACATGTTAGATTTTATGGAAAGTTGTCATGTGAATTGATGACAACTGGCGGCATCGAAAAGGGATGCCCACTGTTACAGTTCCTATTTAATTTCTCTATAGATTTACTAATGGACATTACTTTAGGTACATCTGACTTTATAGGGATTGATCTACTCCCCAGAGGTCATATGACTGAATTGAAGTATGCAAACGGTATTGTCCTGTCAGGTGAAGACAGTGACAAAATTTAGGGTCGCCTGAACAGCCTCAGAGGGAATTTGAACATGTTTGGCATGCACTTCGCACTTGTCAAATGTAAGATGATGCTTCAAAACTGGTCTTCACCTACTCCTAGCCTAAAAATAGGACGTGAAGTGAAGAAATGCATCAACCATTTCACTTGCCTGGAGAGCTGTGTCACCTCGACCAGGCTGGTGGGTGGCGAGATATCAGTTGGGATATGGAAGGTCCATTTGGCACTTGCGTCGTCTGTAGTGCCAGAGAAATATCCCATTCCCTATTAAAAGATAGGCACACTGCACTGCATTTCATTCTGCCCTGTTATACAGCAGAGATATGGCCGTTGAAAGTAGAAAATATGAACTGATTGTGGGTCATTGATGACAGGTAACTTCTTAGCACTGCCAGCGTACAATGGAATCACTCTGTTAGCAGTGTAGGGGTCAGGTGAAGGACACTAGGCAAGACAGGCACGTTAGTCTATTAGGCTGTGAACGTTCAAATACATTGACGGCTTGGACATGTGCTGAGTATGGCGAGCCACGGTCTTCCTCAATCTGGATTAGGTTGGAAGAAGGCTTAGGGTGGCCAGACTAAGACGTACTACCAGTTCATGAAACCCTTACTACTGTTACCGAGGTTTGGACAGCCAGGTATTATCACTAGTCGTCACACAATAGGTGTGGCTTATTACCTACTACACAAGTGTGCACAAGGTTGCTGAGAGCATTCTGATTTTTTTTCACTACTGATCTGAGCCGTGCAAGATGCTGTAGACTACCCGACTGGGGTTCCCGAGACAGGAATCAGTGGCTGAGGAGTTGAACCAACGCACTTGCATGCAAGGTTCCACGTTAATATTGTCTTGTCTTGTTTCACCCTTTTAAAAAATAACTGATAAGAATATGATCAATGTATAAAGTGTTGAGTAGAGGTCGGTGGACACCACGTTAGACATCTCTATTTATGCCTACAGTTCATGCTGACCAGAAATAGATGGTTGACCATAGTTTCAGCGGGTGACCACCAATATCTGTTCGTTCGGTTTGGACTCCAAGAATACCACTTAAGTGCCTGTTTGTCCTGCCCTTCCTATTTGTGCATCGAAATCGCCCGCGGTAACAACCACATCTGAGCGTTTGAACTCCAGTAGGAAGCTCCGCATAGATCTTGGTAGAATTAACCTTTCACTTCATCCAAACCGCTGTCAGTGGATTCGCAAGCGGAGATTACAAAGGAACAACTGGGGGATTCAGTGTTTTTTTCACTCCTCACCACATCAATCAGTGGAACAGTGCACACAACATTCAACTAGGATCCAGTCAAGCCGTTCAGTAACTGCTTTAAGAGCTAACGCCTTACCTACATCTAAAAGACCACAAGGATGAGCGACTGAATTCCCAGAAACTTTAAGAGTGAATTTTGTAGGTTCACCATATTGACCAGATGCGTCTAAATGAATGGTTATACTTAGATTCTTTGTGGAGCGAAATGTAGGACGTTTGGTTAGCGATGCTTACTGTCCAAGTTAACGGAGAGTTCGGAAGTTGAGAGCTCTGATAAATAGTTTCGAGCATGATTTTACGCGCCCAACGATGCTGAATTTGAATAATTATCAAGAACTGTACAACTTGAAGGAATTAAAGATTACGTAGAAATATTGACAGAGATATGAAGGAAGACTAGAAGGCAAAGATGTGGAAGATTGATAGCGACGTGAGGGAACTTTAATGTTTACAGAGATGCGAGGGCAGTTAAGACTTCCCAGCTGCCCATACAATGGAAGGTTAGTTCTTCTTGAAGTATCGGGGGGAAATGTAATTTTAGCAACCTGAATGAGGGGCCAGAGTGCAAGGAACATCTGCTTGAGATTAATCCCATATGATCTTTCTCGAGTTTGTAACTCGGAACCGGTAGTGTTTTGTCCGAGCTACAGAATCCCCACCACCAACATCGGCATACTGTAGGACACGGAGTGTGAGGTTACTGTGGCTGACTTTATCTACTTTCCCTTACTTTCCTTACGGAAAGTAGAATCAGCCTAGACCGCTTTTCATCCTAGAAAAACACCTTACTGCTGTCATACGCCGTCCCATTAACAGTACAACTTTTTCTTTAGAAACCACACCATAACGTCAGCTATTTACATTAGGACGGTGGGTGCTTTTAGTTTTACCACTATTCAACAAACCTTTAGTATGGAAGGAAACTAGAACTTTTTTTACCAGTACATCATGTTAGATCATTGTGATATGCAAGTCTAACCACACTTTAGGGTAGTAGCTATCGTCGAGTTCCGATCAAATGTGTTTTTCTAGCATTTCTCCGGTAAAGTATGTCAAGGTTAGGGATAGAGTAATATGTGATGAACTAGTTAGTCAATTAGGCTATGAATTTTCACCAACTGAATTAGCTTGGACATATATTGTGCATGCCAAGCCACTGTCTACGTCGGGCTCGCAACGCTAGCCGACGTAGGATTATAGAATATTTTTCATTACGGTTCAGAGATAGTCAAGACATGGCACTAATCAATAAGTTTACTGACAGATCTGAGAAATGTAGGCAGGTGTATACTTTCTGGTTTGGTTTCTTATAAGATGGTAATCAATGGTTGGTGGTTGCTAGTGAAATAGATGAGAATCTATCACAATTATGCAAATGTAAGCGCCATTTATTATTTTTAATTTTGAGCATTTTATTAACTTTCACTAACTTGTCCTTTTCCCTCAATGCATTTCCGCCTAATTCAATATCATTCAGGAAATATGCGCTTCCTTTTTGTCAGTCAATTACTATCAACATGAGAAATAGTACTATTGCTTGTTGATTCAGCTTGCCACAAAAAAGAAACAGCAAGAGTAGGGAAATGCAAATAATGTCATCAAAAGCCGTGGGTAACATGTGCATATATATATATATATATATATATATATATATATATATATATATATATATATATATATATATATATATATATATATATATACGACAATAAGTAAAATTTTATGGAGGGAATAAAACAATGTTAAGATAATGCATCACTAACCTTTAATTCAGCCTCACTGAGCAACTGTTTAATTGAAGGATCTTTTGCATACATGATAGGCCGATGTCCACGTTCATTCACTAAAGTTGGATCAGCACCTAAATGAAGAAAAAAAATAGTAGTTAGGGCACGCGTGTGTACAGTATCTTTGTAGTAAACAGGAAACTTTAATAGTATGAAGGCAGCATTTTCTGGATTACAGTGTCATTAACAATACTATTGCGTTACTTCAGCACTGTTGGAGACCAGATTACAATAAGCAGTAATATTTTCTGTTGTGAACACGGAAAGATGAATAACTGAACGAGTTATTAGATGAAAAGGACATAGGTTACGAGAAAAAATGAACTGTCAAACTTTGCAAAGTGAACCAACGAAAAATGCAAAGATGAGAAGATGCAGTTCATGTGGCTACTACAATGACTATGGAAAGAAGATATTTGATGTTGCAACAGCAGTAATCGTATATAGTTTAAACATGTATAGTAATCAAAATGTGATCAGTGGAGATCCAAATAACAATGCACAGAACAACTACAGATAAACAGTCAATCACTTGTAAACGTTTTCTTAAATAAAACCTGAAGTGGGACGAGATGAAATCACTTATTCTGCAAACATTGCGTAGACGAATTCACAGTTAGCTGTAGAAATCTCGGTTTTTCAGCAGTAAGAAAGGTCATTGCAAAAGCATGAAAACTTCAGGAGACGACAAACAACCTGGGCATTGTAGTGCACCATCCTGGCACCAAAATGAAACTAGGGCAAAATAGATAGATGAAATTGATTTCACTAAATATTAACTAAATAAACCTGTAGCTCGCCTCCGGATGCTTTGGGTATTTTAATTTTTATTTTAACCAGTACGCATCCTAGCCAGATATGTTGGATAAACCTTTCCTATAAAAACCACCTTAATCTCTATTCTATTTAAGTATACTGGTCTTTCGAGCTTATTCCTAAATAATTCAGACTTTTTGATTTGTGCTTCGTTATCACTACTTACAAGTTAGGTAAGGCACTCGTTAGGCGGGTACTGAAGCACGTCGAAGTTAGTTAGACTGGCTAAGTGTTACGTAATAACAACACCCACAGTCTCTTACGACATTACAGAAAGAGAGTTCGATAAGTACTACTAATGAACAATTAATGGATATATGATATAACATCAAAATCTGCGCTCAAAATAATTAACAACTAAGTTATTCTGCAAAGTTTTACCCAAAAAACAGCCATTAAAATAAATCAACACTTTTTTGGCAGTAATTGACTTATGTTTTATGCACTGTAAAGTTCGATTAGAAATAACTAATGGCATAATTATTCATGATCACAATATCAGTATTCAGTATCATAGCTGACTTACGAAGGGTAGCTAACCCCCCTTCAATGAAACTTTGAGGCTTAGAGTTACAATTAGGACTTGATATTACAATGTACAAACTCATACCATTAACTAGTGCGAACTACACATTTACAACTTGTGCAGTTTCTGAACAAACACACGAAACGGGTTGAAATATCAAATAGTATAAAATAATTTAATCTAACGCAACCTCAACCATTTTAACTGAATGAATCCTCAAATAATACCAAAGTTTTGCTGACTTCAGAATATAATGAAGAACCTAAGTGGTTGTAAGATAGATCCAAGTGTGGGAGGATTTTGTAGATCAAGAGGATTCAAGCCTGCAAAGTCATGCCTTACAAAGAATTGCTTTCCCAGTAATAGTTAAACGCTTACAGGTAACCACAAATAGGCTACAGACAACAAAGGTGGATCGCATAACCTAAGCAGCAGCATATAGAAACAATACGAAGAGAGAAAAGCTGCATAATGTGTAGGGTATAAACCAATCCCCGACTATTCTCGAATGATGAACAATCATAGTATCCAACTTATTTTTACTAGCAGTTCTGTTGCTGACAAAAATTCAGCTGAAGACAAAGTAACCAGAAAAACGCATGACCCACCTTTCTCCAGTAACAAAGCGACAATCCTACAATCATTAATCAACACAGCGTAATGTAGCGCAGAACAACCACGAAAATCAGCTGATGGATTCAGAAAATCACTAAACTGAGTGATTCGCATCCACTCAACTAATTGAAAGGGTTAGTCACGAGACATTTACCTTCAGATGAAATAATACCCAAATCACGTGCAGTTTTGACAACACCGGAAAAATTATCAGCATCATTAGGATTTGCACCTGATTTCAGCAACTCATCCACGGCACTAAGACAGAATGCAACATAAGGAAAGTAGTTACTCATAATTCCTAGTGACCACTGCAAGCATCAGCGGTGTCCATCCTAATAAATGTCTACTTTTGTGAGCATCTTTGTTATTCCTTAAAAACCTGCAACGGTTTACCAACAAAAAAGCCAACTCACTTGAAAAAGAACTGTTGTCCATGGATAAAATATATTCAAATATATCAGGGTTCCTTTTATTCTTAGAGCTGAAAACAATTGAATCAATATCGAGTTGAGAGATTGGTTGAGTAAGGGCTAAGAAAGACAGCCCAGCACATTTCCATGGGACAACGAAGCCAGAAGAAGTGAAGAAGTGTCTGTATCTGGTGAATTGGTAGCAAACAACAACACCCCTAGCATGTGAAAACAACCTTCTCAAACAATGTGCCCACAAGGTCATTCGACTTAAGGTCCTTGAGAATTTGAATTCCAACATCCAATATCCAATCCAATGTTCCAATCTAATATATGTTACATTTCAACGAGCTTGTGTTAACCAGTTGCTTTCTTCGCACTCACCTCTTAGTCTTGCGAGGATGGACTCGATGGTTTTTGATCTCTCGTATCCAGTTCTCAGGGCCTGGTTAGAGTTATTCTGGTCACTCCTGCAGTGGACGGGAAAATCCCCACTGTTTTCTTGCTTTCAGGTTCGGTGACACTAATGTTTTATGGATTAGTAATTTGTAATTCGTAGTGTGATTGGAGAGCTACGAGCCGCTAGGAAGGTTAAGGGACTGCCACGACTTCTGTCTGTGTAGATACCTGAAAGAGAACAGTAGGGTGGTGGTAGAAGACTGAAAAGAATCGAGAAAAAGAAAATAGAGAAAGAAAAAGGGAGAAGAAAGAAAAGGAGAACGAACAGGAAAAAGGGGAGATAAAAAAGACGAATAAAAGAGAGAGAAAGGTGAGTGGGTATTGTCCAAAAGATAAAAATAGATAGCGTAGGGCAGTTTCCTAGAAAAGAACCGGCGGGTAGTGTGGAAGTTTTGAGCACCAAAATAGTGAGTGGTGGGTAGAAGTGAAGCGAGGGTGGGCTGGTGAGATTGGTGACTACTTGAGTACGTCCGTTGTAGACCATGCAAGGTGTCACAGCTGTCTACGCTTGAAAACTGGCTTCTCTTATGCTAAACTTTTTTATCGTGAGAATGAAACATTTTTTCATTTATTATCCCTAAAATGAGTCGACTGAGTGGGCTATAACGATATATCGTGGTAAGGCGTTTCACAAAGCGCATACTCCCGGGGAGTAGAATTTGAACCGGAGTATGGCATTGGCCCTCCGATGCAATATCTTAATTAGGTTTCCTAGCGAAGACCTCTGAGTCGTAGGCAAAATTTATTTGTTTGCGTGGTCTGCCTGGTGGGCGGCCTTGTAGGCCATAATAAGGTCAGCCACCTTCCTGTGACAACCCAAAGTAAATAGGTCCAGGTGCTTAAGGCTTTCAGGATACCTCTCCCCTTAGCCCCGCAGCTGATTTGGCTGCGGTTCTTTGTACTTTTCCAAAGAGATTAGAGTCTTTCTTGATTGTTGGGGGGCCCACCGTGTTGAAGACCTCTAGATGCGGCCGCACGTAGGGCTTGAAACCAGAGGGGAAGAGTTTCGGAGTGAGGTAGGCAAGCTGCCTACACAGAAGGTGCACAATGGCATTCTCTCTGGTTGCCATACCTTTGTAGTTTGGGCCGGTGTTCAAGGTGTCGGAGAAGTTGAGCCCCAAATCTTTCTCCACGGACCCTCTGGTGATAGCACAGTTTCCCAGCACGTACTGGAAGTCGATCCTACTTGCTTCATATTTGCTGTTGTGCATCGCTTCGCACTTTTCCAGGTGGAGGGGCAGGCCATTTTCCAACTACCAGAGTTCCAGTTGTTGCAAGTCCTTTTGTGGTGCTGTACAGTCAGCTTCTTCGTCCGCCAACCTCTACATTTTAGTGTCATCAGCGAAGAGGAAGATGGGCGATGAGATTTTGTTGGGCAGATGACTGACAGACGGGAGGAACAGAAGTGGTCGTGGGATTGCTCCTAAGGATACCAATGACGTCGATGGTTTCCACTCCAACCTCTTTCTGTTCACTTCGGCGCAGAACAGCCTCCCATCCCGGCCCTCCTTGAACCGAGGGAGTTGGGGTTCATTTATACCAGCTGACATGATCTTGTGAAGCAAGAGTGTGGGTGGGACACTGTCAAATACTTTTGCTAGGTCAAGAAATACAACATGTACCAGTTCTCTGTTGTCCCAGCTGAGTGTCCAGTCACCCCAAGCGGTTAGTAAGTTGGTGGCACATCAGCGGCCACTCTGAAATCCATGCTGAGCCGTATGGACGGTGTTTTCCCTATTGAGGAATTCCCAGATAATGTCATCTACCAGGCTTTCCAACACTTTCGACACAAAAGGGAGTTGGGCAATTAGCCTGTAGCTGCCAGGGCTTATTCTGTCTCCTCACTTGAGGATGAGTGACAAGATGGCACTCTTTCAGTCTATGAGGGGTTTGCGCTACTCTGTTGAGTGTTCGAAGAGGCTGCAAACACCTCGGCGCAGGATTTTGGGATCACCGGTTTTAGGTAATCGCGGCCAGGGGACTTGCCTGGAGGTAACCTAGATAGTTTGTCTAACACCTTTTTCTCAGTGGCTGAGATGTAGCAGAGGTATTCGTTATTTATGACCCGGTCTCTATCGTAACGAATCGGTGTGGATTTTGTCTCCGTACTAAGCTGGATTTGGAAGTGTGTGCTCAAAAGTTCGGTAAATTTCGCCTGCTGCTCGCTTTTGTTATTCACTTTTCAGATCTACTTAACCAGTCCTCCGTTCAAATGGAATCCTAAAAATCTCATTCGTCAGTGGGAAATATTGCCATCAAAACTTTATGACGGACGCGCACACCTCAAGGTCATGACCGTGATGCGGCTTCACCTTCAAGAATATTGGATGATTCAAACGATGACCGGATAATCTTCAAATTAGAACTGAGCCTGCTTCAACACACCTCCTATATGCCATAAATCACAGCATCTAATATATAGCATAACACTGTAAATAATAGTCATGTCTCATTACCAAAGTGATCAAACCTGTAAACTGGTTTGTATTCATGTAACCTTTGTTGTATGAAATGTATTATTATTATTATTATTAATCTCTAGGCTGCTTAGTGCACTCCCATCGTGACCTGTGATAAGATTCACTCCCTTGCTGGCTGGCTTCCTTCACGATATGAAGCGGTACAGGCTTTTGTGGTTACTTTTTAACTTCCCCACTACCTTTGGTTGACAGGTGAATATGTCTCCATGCCCGTAATTTGACAGCAGTTGCAAATCCTTTCGTAGTTCAAAGAACCAAACACTCTGCATGATGAACGCCACTCGAACCAAGCCTGTTTCTTGTTCTGGATAAGCCTCTCTGTCCCACCCTTTAGCCATGAGATTCTCATTGACGGCCTGTGTTATTTTCGGCACACTGTAGCTGATGGCCATAGGATTATTTTCTTCACCTGTGGCCAGTGTTCATCTGTTGTGAGATGAGTCCAGTCTGCCGGCCATGATGCATTCATGAGATAGTCCCCCATGGTTTCGTAGTTAGCCTTGCTGTAGCGACGGAAGGTGTTGAGTGACTCCAGTTGCAGGTCGTCCCCAGTCGTCACGGAGGAGGTCATTACTGAGTGGTCACTGAGGCTAAGGGAGGTTAGATGCATACGTCCCCAATGAGAAGTTCATCGTTTGTCAGAAAGTAGTCATGGCACGATGCGTTTCTTTTAGGCCCCCAGCGTGTGGCGTCACCCACTTTATCTGAGAAACCAGCAGTTTTAATAGCCTTCTTCAGCTTCTGATTGAGGGATCCGATGTGTCTCCCTTCCGTCTCCAAGAGGATGGACGCGGTGTTGAAGTTGCCGAGAATGATTACAGAATGGTAATTATGCAGAGGAAGTCGTTAAGATTGCCCCGATGACCATTTCCTCATGCGTAGGGAAGCTAGCGGGGCGGCCCTGCTAACCCTTCTTGCTTTTAAACGAGGGCCTATTCTCCTCCTGCTCTGAGCTCTCTGTTTCTGCAGGAGACGTTCACGCAGCGTCTTCATCTCCTATTTTCCATCTTAGCCCCCTGACGTTTCTGTGCATACATGTTAGAATATGCCTGGTGAGAGGAAAAGGCTGGCTATTTATCTTTGTGAGAGGGGCGCTTATGTGGTTAAGTCCAGTGTTCAGAATCTTCTGACCAACTAGTGTGAACCATTTGATCTCTTCGTGATCGCTTGTACGCTTTGCTGAACAGTTCCAGGTCTTTGGTTGATTCCGATGCATTTGGTCCACATACTTGCATCCTACAGTTCTGGTCAGCCCAACGGGCAGATGGGTGTTGGTTAAATTCTGTGGGTGGTGTGCAGTTCGTTCAAAGGCTGCGGTGCAGATGGATCCCTCAAGTGCAGTGTCCCATGAGACCTGACGGGACTGGTCTTAGAAAGGGGACAGAAAAGATTCCTGGACAAATGGATGAGGGGGAAATTGCGATGAAGTGTAGAAGGTGGAGGGAGGCAGGACAGAAGAGAAGGATTCCACTGTTCGGATAGCTTGAGTTACTTGGTAATTTGCAAGTCATTACAGTTGCCACCTAATTGACGGTAGCTAAGAAAGTATAGCCCTTGGTCTTTCCGACTGTACAATCGGGTTTTGCCTCACTCCAACAACACCCTTCTTTATTCGTCACTCCACTTTCTCTGGGAGGTTCACGTCTCTTTTCAGATATGATGGTGCAATGGCGTTGTGAACCTACGAGTGAGGTTGTGTGTAGGTGTTGCACCACCCAGCGGAGAGTTCGGAGTTAGGACACCTAGTTGTCTGAGTATGAAATGCAGTGCTGCGTGGGCTCTGGAGGCATCGCCTAGACAATCCGAGAGAGTGAAATTCCTCCTGAGTCGTGGGTGTGGAGGAACATATTTCGGCATTTATTCAGGCTAAATACTAGTCCGTTATTAGTCAACAACCTGCAAGCAACTTGAGATCACTCTACAGTGCACTGGACTTTATTTTGGATGTCAGAACTCCACACAACTCAATATCGTCAGCATAAAGTAAAATCGGGGATGTGATACTCAATGGGAAGGGAAAAAGAGCAGAAGCAGATTTAGAATCGCACCATGCGATACACCACATAACGTTGTTTTCCAAGTCGGGCAAACCGTGTCGGCTTTAACGTAGAATTCTCCGCCGTTTAAAATGTCCTGCAGCCAGACGAGCACTTGCATGTCTATACCTAACTTTCATATTTTGCCAACGAGAATCGAGTGTGAGACTGTTTCAAATGCCTTGATCAAATTCCAGAACGTGACGTGAATAAGGACTTCGAGGTCTCACCACGCTGTTCATTTTTCACTGGCTGCAGAAGGTTTGTGGTGCAGGACATATCCTTTCAGGGACAGTGTTGAACATCATTTGGTGCTCCCCT